CTGGCACTGCCAGCCACCAAGCCTGCAGGCACACTAAAGCATGCCCTTTATATTTTAAAAGATAACGAGACAGCTTGCTGGGGTGTTGAGTCTTGTGCTTGTGTAGGGAGGGGTGTGTTAAGGCGACACCCCACACATGTGCCTCCTCTGTGGTTCTCAGATCATCCACAACTGTGCTTGTCCTGCACCAGGAGTGGCACTCTGGTTGATAATCAACTTGTGCCAGGCTCGACACGAGTCAAAGATCCTGTACCCACTTGGTTGTCCAGGGAAGGCAAGGGGGTGCACCCCGTCACCCCGCCAGACACCCACCCCACCGGTGACCCTGCCTCTGCCTGGTGCCTCACTTGGGTGCATGTCAAGCAGGCTCTTTCTCTCCCTCTTTCCCTCAGCTGCCTCCTTGAGATGGAGGCAAAGCAAGGCGAGCAGGTTTAGTGCCTGAGTAACTGAAGGGGCACAGGTGACCTCCCCAGAGCCGGGGCACGGGTCATGGGTCCCCACCAACGAGGCGCATTAAAAAGGACTCTGGAACCTGCCAGCCACCTTGGAATGGAACAAAGATACAAAGAAAGACCCCCAAGCCTGGTCTGTGTTTGCACAGGGAAACCAGAGCTTCGGAGCAGGCCTGCCAAGGGCACAGCCGCCAGCAGGGCACCTAGGCGTGTGTGCGTGGCTGTGCAAGCCACACACTCGGGATCCAACTAAGAATGGAACTTTCCCCTTTCCCTCGCTCTCCTCGCTCTAACTAAACACATCTGGGTGTGCAGCGCTCCTAACGCCGGATACTGACAGTTTCAAAATGCCTGAACGTCGTCCCAGTGTGGAGGGAAGGGGAACTGTACCCAAAGCTGCTCCTGCTGCCCCATCAGCTTCGGGAGGCTGGCCCGAGGGCCACAGGCTGAGCCGGCTCCAAGGGCTGGGACGGCAGGGACAGCAGGAAATGGCCGTCTCTATTCCCATTGGCAGAGCTTGGAAGAAATCAGGAGAAAATAGCTGTACAGGCCGATACTATAAACATCCTGGTGTACCCCCAGCCCTCCTAGGATTTATTTTCAAACATCTGACCCGAGGCACGGTTGCAGTCCCAGCAAAGCTTTTGTCCCAGGAAGCTCCCCGCACAGCTTGTCCATCAGCACTGTAGAGCGTCCGGGTTGCCGTGAGATCCTTTGAGCATGCTTTATTGGGAATAAACATGACAGGGTGGCAAGGAGGCGAAAACCAAAAAACCAGTGCAACCAAATCAGAATTTACCTGCGCACTGCGTTTTTTGCTGAGGGAGACAGAATTTGGTTTCTGATCCTGCAGCCGAATTCTTTGGGCAGGAAGAATGAAAAACAAAGAATGTGTGTTCTCCAGTATTGTTCTGACTCACCCAGGTTTTTTTTTTTTTTAACAAAATAAAATTGGAAGGGGGAGGGTAAGGCATTAAATTAATTCATTATTATGTGAAAGCCAGAAAAAAAAATTAGCTGCTTAAAAGAAAAAAAAAGGGGGGGGGGGTTAGTAGCAAGCCAGCGTGGTGATTATACAATGATTTCAGGTGAAAATTGCAAAGCTAATATCCCACATTTAGTCCTTGTGCTCAGTAATGATATAGTTGTCAAATGTGTATTTGTGGCAATGGAACAAAAGTTGTAAGTTGCATAAAGGAAGATAATCTCCTTTTCTTTGTGGCTTTTTAAATTCAATGTTTTCATCCACCCATTTAATCACAAAATATATATCACATTAGTTGTAATATTTATAGCGTTTAGGGGAGCGATTCCAAACAGATTCCAGTGTGGCTGTTGGGTGCAGTCTTTCCCTTGCTGTTTTGTGTGTGCATAAGTGTGTCTCAAAGACGCGTAGTGTTTCTGGACTCTGCGGAAGCAGTGGCCGTGGGTTTGTGTTCAGACAAGCTTGCTTGGTGTTTTGGAGGAACAAGGTTTGGTCTTCACAGGGCGGGGGCTCACGATGCTGACACGGCTGCAGTCGCCCATGCCCGCAGCACAGCGGCACTTCTGGACTCCCAGAACTCGCAAAACCATGACATGTGTCACGATGTCCGTGGGAGTAGCTGGACCACGCAGCCAGCCAGGCCTGGGGGGCGCGGGACAGTGGGACCGGCAGCCAGTGCGGAGACCTGCGTCTGCGTGGTGAGGGTGTGGGCAATGGGCTCTGGGTCATGCGTGGAGGGCTGTCCGGCGTATGTTCCCTCCTGGCCCACACGGTCTGGACGGGGCTGCGGGAGGCCGGCAGCCGCCTGCTTTGCCATATGTGGGAGTGGGTGCGGCATCCCGGGCTGCCCTGTGAGGGTCCACAGCCCCAGCCTGGCCCTGGTCAGGTCCTCCTGCCCCTGCTCGCCAGGGCTCTGCCCAGGGCAAAGTGAAAGTTGCTTGCGATTGCCATGAAAAAGCTGAACTGGAAGTCACTTCCACTCTGTTTTTCAAACTCAGGTTTTCTAATAGGAAAATAAAACAAAAAAGCTTTCGTTAGGGAAGACTGCACCCCTTCCTCTACCAAGGCCCAGGAGACCAGCTTCGGGGGCTTCAGAAACAGATCAGGAATTTTCTGCACCCCCCTCCCCCGTTGGTTGGGGGGTGGGGGGAGGAAGGGTACGAACGTGTGGTGAAGATTGGAGGGCACAGTTCAAGGTCATGGTGGGCCGTGCAGCCTCAGCAGGCTGGTCAGTGTGCAGCCGGGGCCCTGCCCAGCTGCCCGGCTGCCCGGCTGCCCGGCTCAGTCCTGCCCAGCCAGGCCTCTCTCCAGGGCAGTTCCATCCCATGTGGAAGGAAGTTTCCTGGGAAGCCTGGCCCACGAGGAACTTTTGAATTTACCAATGGCATCAAAAGTATATATATTTTTATGACAACGGGCAAGTTTTGATTGGTTGACAGAAATGGCGAGATGTGACGTCGAGGGACACTGGTTAGAATGCCAAAGCCCGGGGGGGGGGGCGGGCACAGAGCGACAGGGGACGGAGCCCTGAGGCCTGCTTCCCTGGGGCTGGGGCCCTCAGTGGTCCACGGCTGACATCAAGGGTCGGCCGGGCGCCCGTGGCTCTGAGCCAGGGCCTGCCCTGGGCCAAACGTTGAGACCCTGTGTCTGCCACCAGGCTGGTCCCCTCTGCGTGCTGGAGTCCTCCCAGCATAGGAGCACCCGGCTGGCATGGCCGCGGAGGCCTCCTGGGCGTTCCAGCCAGTGTCTGGTCCCTGGAGCCAGAGAACGCACCGTGTGGCTCAGGGCCAGCAATGTCGGTCTAGCTCCAACAGAGCAAAGCTGCGGCCTTGAACTTGCCCGGCCGCGGCAGCTCCTGCGCCCTGATTCGGGCAAGCAGGAAGTTGTTTCCATGGGGAAGAAAGCAAGCCAGCTCGGAGCTCGGCAGCGGCTCCGGGCACCGAGCCCTTGCCCAGCCCACGCCTCCCCGGGGGAACCGTGAGCGCCCTCAACTCTGCCAGGCACCTTGCGCGCCCCCTTCACGTCTCCTGGCATTGTGAGCTGCCCACCCCCACCTCCAGGCTCACCAGGGCTCGTGCGCCTGGCTCCAGCACCCCCACAGTGCTGGGCACCGCAGTGTCCAGGAAGCGGGCCTTGGGAGAAGCCCAGGGCGACTGTGTGTCCCCGGGGGTGCTGTCCTGGGGCCTCTGCGGCAGCTCCGCGGCGCACGAGGGCCTCCTACGAAGACGGGCTTGTGACCTGGGCGGCTCTCCTCCTCAGCGCGCACTAGGGCTGCGGGCAAAAGGTTGCGTGCAGGCCAGGGGCTGTCGCGCCGCCCAGGGTCCCCAGTCCCGGCCGGACGCGCGCGCGTCCCGCTGCCCGCAATCATGGCAGCCGGAGCCTTGCAGCGCAGCCGCCGAGCGCGCCCAGTGCCAGGGCGGGCCGGAGGCTCGCGCCTGCCCGTCCCCCTCTTTCGGTCCTGCGGGCCCAGGGGCCCGGAGAGAAAGGCCGGTGGGTCCCCGTGCTGGGATGGTGGGGGTGTCCCTGCCCCGTGAGGGCGGGCGGAGCCGCGAGCGGGGCCGCGCTAGCAGCGAGCGCCCGGGGCGGAGAGCCCGCGGGGGCGCGCACGCGGGGCTGCGGGGCGAGGCGCGGGGGTCCGGGCGGCGAATCCGCTGCTCGCGCCGCCCGCCCGCCCAGCCCGAGCGCGCCAGCCCGGGGCGGGAGGTGGGGGGCGGGTTGCGAGGGGGGAGCCCTGGAGGGGCGGCGCCCGGCCCTCACCCGCAGCGGGCACTGCCTCGTTGGTATTCCGGGCGCGTCGGCGGCCCTGACCTCCCCGCAGACAGGAGTGCCCGGGCGTGCGGGCACGGCCGCCGCCCCCCGGGCGGTCTCCCGGGGCTGCGGGGAGGCCCCCCGCCGCAGCCCGGCTTCCTCCATCCCCCTCCTCCCGGAGTCCCGCGTACCCCCTCCCCCGCCCCGATCCGGCGGCGAAGGGGTGGGCAGGGAAACGCGCTCTCTGGGACAGGTGCCAACTCCGAGACAAAAGACATAAAATAGGCGGCAACGGGGGAAGCGCGGCGGGCGCGCTCGGGCGGGGACGGCGGCGCCGCGGGGGCCGCATCCTCGGTGCCGACCCGGGAAAGTTTGGGAAGTCGCCGCGGCCGCTTCGCAGCGGCGGGGGACGCGCGGCCCAGGCCGCCCTCCGCGCCGCGCTCGCCCTCTCCGCGCCGCTGCTGAATAATTCATGGCGCGGCCGCCGGCCATTAGCATGCACCGGGCGCGCGGCGCGTCTGTGCCAAGCCGCCGCATTCGGCGCCCGGGCAGCACCAGACGAGCGGCCCCGAGGCGGTCGGGCCCTCGCGGCCCCCGCGTCCGCCCGGCGGCGCCCATTGTGCCCCGGGCCCCGCGCGGCCGGCCCCGCGCCCGCCCGCAGCCCGCGCCCGCCCGCCCGACGGCCCGGCTCTGCAAGTTCGGGCCCGCGGCGTCCGCGGCGCGAGGCACGTGAACTTGGAGAAAGTCGCGGGGCGCGCCGGCCGGGCCCCTCCGCAGCCGGGTGTGGGTGCCCTCGGCCCCGAAGCGCCGCTTTCGTTTTCGTCCGGGACAAAGGTCCCTCGCGGCGCCGGTGACGGCCGGCTGCGGTGTCCGCGTCCCGCGGGCCACTCCGCGGTGCGGCGGGGCGGCTGATGGAGGGACGCGGAGCCCCGGCGGGCAGGAGCGCGGGCGCGGCTCGTCCCGGAGAGGCGCACGCGGCGAAGAGTTGCGGGAGCTCGGCGGTGTGCGGACGGGGATGCGTGGAAGTCGCTGAGACGGCCCGCACGGTGGCCCGACAGGCTGCTCCCGCAAGGGCAGGGCTGCGGAGCCGCGCGCCCCGGTCGCGGCCGGCTGCGGGGCGAAGGCGGAGGGCGGTAAGTGCTTCCCGTGAGTACTTCCCTGTGACCGCGGGGATCCCGAGCAGGGGCCCCTGTGCGGAGCAGGGCGGGCCTTCCCAAGGCGAGCAAAGGGACCCTCCACCGGAACCCCACGGCCCACCTTCCTGGGCAACGTGGAGTCGTGGGCGAGGTGTGCCCGGAGTCCCCCGTGTGAGGTGGGCGGCCGCTGGGCCAGGGGAGATTTTGTTGAAAGCGGAAAAGAAACAGACATCTTCAACAATGGGCACCCCCCATGGGAAAATTCGTGTTGGTGTTGGGTGACGTGCGTTTTGAAAAATTTTAAAGCTTTGCTTCAGAACCCCTCGCTTTGCTGGTCTCTTGGAGGGGGATATTGCTGGGCCTGGCGCTGGCCACTGGGCTGCTGCTTTCAGGCTGTGTGGCAGAAGCTGTTGTTTACGGTGACATAAAGGGAACACAGCTCATAACTTTTTGTAGTAAACGTTCCTTTATGGTGGTTCACACACAGGTCCAGCCAGGGCCCGGGAGGAATTTGGGGGACGGGGTTTGGGGTGAAAGGAATGCCCGTTCGCTGTCACCCTTTAAGTCATTTCTTCAAAGTTGGGGCTTCAGACCTTCATGTTCTCTCGTTTTCGTGGGTTCCCCCTCCTCGGGATTTCAGAACGTGCCCCTGCACCAGGTGGAGCCCGTAGTGGGCGGGTTAAGCCATTGGTGCCACAGGTTAGCTGGTGCCGCCTCGCAGCCTCACCAGGTGTGCTGGGACTGCGGGCCGGTTCCTGTAGTGCTCCCGAAGCTGTGGGCTGCCACCGGAACCTGCACAGCGCCTGGCTCACCTCCGCCCCCTCTGCTTGACCACCTGGTTCTCCTGTGCCCACTCCAGTTCTGGGAAGTACCCTGGCATCAAGGAGACCATTTGGCTAGGGTCTGGCCAGCTAGGAGGTTTGCCCCGGTGCCAGCAGAGCCCGCCTCAGCCGTCCGCTCGGCCAGGCGCCCTCCATTTCAAAATTTCCCGTGTGGCTTTAGCAGGCGTGCATCCTGGGGTGGGATGTCCTGGGGTGAGCTCAGGATTGGGGTGCAGCTGCAGAGGGCATGCTGCTGCAGCCAGGGGCTGCTGCCTGCCACGGCATTGGCAGGAACGAGGTCGGGTGAGCTCCGGCTGCATCAGGGCCCTGCATGCAGGGTGCACATGGCACGAGGGTCCCAGTGCTGGGGCCCTGCCTGGGCTGTCGGTTGTCTCCCTGGGTAGAACAGACCCCAGTCCAGGGGCGCTGACTCTCCTCCCTGGCCCCACTGGCTGGACTGGGGCGGGAGCAGGAGGGACGAGGGAGCAGCTGCAGGTCAGGCCCAGGGCCGGCGAGGGAGGCTCCCAGATTCCAGCTGCTGCCCCCAAGGGTGACGCTGGCACATGTGAGGTGACAGTGGGAGTGCCGCAGGGCATGCCGGGGCCGGCCTGAGCTCTTTGTCCACGGCCTCCCTGAGCTGGCTCGGTGCAGATGGAGACTTGGGGTCTCATCAGAGACTTCCTGCAATGTCGGGGCATCTCACCTCGGCACTGTTGGTTTCTGAAGACACGCGGGAGGCAGCTCATGGTGTCCGTCTGTGTCTTCTCCCTGCTGGATGTCATGCAAGGCAAGTGGCAAGCAGGGAGCTGGGTCCCACAGGCTGCGGCGGGAGCTGGCAGGAGCACGAGCCTTCGTTTTTCCGTTTCAGGTTTTGTTTTAAGCCGGGACCTTCCCAGGGCTGGCGCTGGTGGGGCCTGGGTGGGCTGTCGGTGACGAGGAGGCCTGTGCCTTCCCTGGTAGCCAAGGCTGGTGAGGGTGTCCCTGAGCGGGTGCAGGTCAGGAGTCGGCTTTGCTGAGCAACACCAGCACGGGCAGCCACAGCCGACTGACTCCTGGCTGGGCACCTCAGCGGTGCACACTCAGCTCCAGCTCCTATTCTCAGCCACGTGTGGAAGAGGCTTGGCAGGAAGGCAGAAGGCCGTGCGGCCAAGGGCAGGGTGGGCAGGGCACCCTTCCCTTCTCTGTGTCCAGGGCAGGGTAGGGCCTGGGACACCAGGCCAGGCTGGGACTGTGTGCTGTCAAGGTTGGGGGTCAAGGGTGTATTTGCACGCTTGTGGAGAAGTGGGAGAGAAGTTTTGCTGGGTTAGAGCGTCACATGCAGCACGGGCCCAGGCTGCCCATGAGGCCCTGGGCCAATCATGTCCCCTTGCTGAGCTCTGTTGAGGGAGTGAGGATGCGGTCACAGGCTCGGGTCCCACTGTCCGTGCTCCTGGCTGCTCTGCTTGCCCCAGCGTGCTCTCAGGGCTTCCTTGGTCTCCAGGTGGCACAAAGCAAGTTTCTTGGTATCCCTGGGGCCCACAACGGGACGCTTGCTTCTCCCCAAAGGTGGTAGGTGGCACTGGCAAGGGAGATGGGCAGGAGGAAATACCTTGTTCCCCGTGTCGGCCCAGAGAGCCGAGCTGTGGCCCCCCGGCAGGCCTGGGGTGTGCCGATGGCAGAGGCTGCTCCCCTGGGAGCTGGCCCCTTGGCTATGCACAGGGATCACAAACGGCCACCCTGGCTGCCGGCGCTGGCCGTGGCAGCAGTAGCGTGTGGCGGGGGTTCTCACTGTCCTTGTGCTGGGCTAAGCGTGTGCTTAGCACAGTGACCACTTTGGACAATGTGTTCTCGTAATTGAGGGCCCAGGACGAGCAGCCAGGTGCCCTTCCTCAAAGCCCCTTGCTGGAAGCAGACAGAGGCCACGTTTTCTGATGCTCTAGAACCGGGGGGAGAGGAAAAGCAACATTGCCCCTCGCCCAAGAAGGTGGGTCTTTTATAGGAGATATTTATTTTCAGGGCTGACCAGGCTCCTCCGGCTGGGCCGTTCTGGCGGCTCTGTGGATGCCACGGACTGCAGACGGCCAGCCGGGGACAGAGGCTTGCAGAAGAGGATCTGCCGCGGCTCCCGGGCAGTGGCCATGAGTAAGCCCGGCATCCCTGGATCCGTGGAGTCCAAGCTCTCCCGTGCTCATTTTCCTTTGCTTTGGTGATTCCTGTTCCGAGCCCTGCAGGGGCACACTGGCTGGGGGGCAGGCCTGGCCTAGCAGGCCTTTGTCTGCCAGCTGGGTGGGGGCGGGAGGCAGACGGTGAGGAGACCGGGGCTGAGAGAGGTCAGAGCACCCTGCAGTGGGCGGGGAGGAGACGGGCACGAGGAGAGGGCAGCTTGGGCCAGCATTTGCCAGTGTTCTCCACTGTACCCGCTGGCCTGGGGAGCGGCCTTTAGCACCATCCCCATCTCGTGTTAGTGCATGGTGAGCGAGAACTCAGGGCGTCTCTCCCCGAGGCCCACACAGCCACAGTCCTGCCATGTGGACAGTGCCAGAGCAGCCGGGGCCTGGTCGCCTGTGCCTCAAGGAGGCCAGAGGGGAGCTGGGTGGGGAGCAGCGGGTGGGCCACGGATCGGCCTATGCCCCATCCCACTTTGGGGGTCCCCAGAGTGGTCTGAGCCAGGGCGTGAGGGTCCCCTGGCCCGGGGAAGACTTGGCTGGCAGGTACCAGTTTTGTGCCTTCACAGCTCAGATTCGGGCTTTCAGAATTCTCTTCTAATGGTGGAAAGTGTGGCCGTGTCACTCTGCAGGTTCTCTCCCTGCCCCCAGAACACTGCTTGGGGAGTGTCTGAGGCCATGGGTCGACTGAGGGACGGAGGTGTGGGGGGCAGCCAGGCCCTAGCATGTACTGGTAGAGAAGTAACGGGTGACCGTGCTGGCCAGTTGGTGACATGAAGCGACACGCGTGTGCAGGAGGCTGCCCCTGGCTGTCGGCTCTGCGAGCAGCCCTGTCTTCATTCAGGGGTCTCGGACACAGGAACGTTTTGCTGAACTATTCACCTGCTGGTTGGAGATGCTGGCAGGTAGCATCCCCTCCACGTGTTTAAGGTGAAGATTTACATTCGAATAGCCTCTTACAAATACATTTTGAATTATAATAAAGTGGTGCTGCCCCTTTGTGTTTGCTGTGGCTTGCATGCCCCCAGAGTGCCCAAGCGTGTTAGGGGCGACGGGGGGGGGGGCAGGGAGACTGGCACTGGATCTGTGCCAGCTGCCAGATCTCGGCATGCAGCTGATGTGTTGGGGTCCCAAGCCCCCATCATGGGCTGCAGGCTGCCTGCCGTTTGCGGGGGACTGCTGTCTGTGACGGCCAGCCGTGGCCGCTGCCTGGCGCGTCCCCCAAAATGGCCACCTGGTCTTCCTCAGCCAGCTCCGCGTTGTTGCTTTGCAGGGCAAAGCCCCGCTCCTCCAGGGCTGGGCTCTTGGCAACCGTGCCCAGCCGTTGCTGGCATGGAATTCCCGGCATTCCTGGTCGGGCGCATGGCATTGGAATCTTACCTGCTTTGTCCCTGGCATCAGCTGGCGAGCGATCACGTGGCCGTGTGCGTGAGACCAGAGACCTCCCGTGCTGCGGCCTTCTCGGCGCCCTCCTTCGCGCTCCCCCCTCCCGCTGCCTGGCATTGGACATGACCATCTCTGAGCAGGCGCAAGGCAGCCTGAAAATAAAAATTAATCCAGGCAGCCCAGTGTTTCCTCCAGGGGCTGGGGCATGATGCCTGGGCTTCCCTTCACTGCTAGGCACTTTGGACAGTGGTCAGGCCCACAGGCAGATGCCCAGGGGACAGTCACCGGCTGACCACCTGAGCGTCGGGAGGGAGTGACCCAGCCCCTGCCTGCACCTCCAGGTCTAGACGTTGGGTCCCAGAGTGCCCCTCGGGAAAGGCACGTGTGCCCTCACCCGTGCCATCTGCGCTCACACGAGGGCCGAAGGTGACACCTGGGTGCCTGTGTTGACCAGGCAGCCTAACCCAAAGGCCTGTGGGGGAGGGTGGTGACCCTGGTGGCAGAGACCCTATGGGCTGGCTTCCTGACCTGGGGCTCTTCCTGAGGCGGCAGCGGGGATGGGTTTTGGGTCAGTTGCAAGTTCTTGCACCGATCTGGCCTCCATCCTGGGGTCACCCTAGCCACAGGTGGAGGTCTGCCCAGTGCC